TTCTTATAAAACTAAATTTATTAAATTTCTATATGTGAATAATTTTTCTCAGGTCTTGTATATTTGAAATAGTTCCTTGATATGAATGAGCAACAATCATTTTCATGTGTTTGTGCCTTTTCCCTAAAAGACCACTTTTCTACACACAATTCCATTTGCAGTGTTAATAAGCAGCCTGTGACTCAGTTGACTCTGCTGTAAGTTACAGTCACAGCTGTTGAGTTTAGTTCCCCAGTGGCATTCTTGCACAGTGCACAGTCCTATTTGAGTCTGGAAAGCAAAGGACTTAAATAAATTAATTTGATCACAATCACTGCTTTTATTAATACTACTGCATATTTATTTAGAAGACACATAGAAGTATATACTACAATTGTTTCATAATATAATTTCTAAACTGGATACCTAGTAAATAATGGGATTTAAAAATGGCTCAATATGGGTCCTAGAGAGATGGCTTGGCACTTAACTTACTGCTCTTATAGAGGACAAGGTTCAATTCTTAGCACCCACATGTGGTGGCTAACAGTCACTCCAGGGGATCTGACTCTCTTTTCTGGTCTCTGTGGACACCTGCATACACATGATACACATACATATACTCAGGCACACACACACATTATTTATATTATGTATACATAGTATACATAATTTTTTTACATACACTCGGGCACACATATACATAATTTTTTTTCTTAAAAATGGCTCAATATTTTTCAGCTGTGATAGCACATGCCTATACCTCTAGATCTAGGAAGGTGGTGTTAGGATTAGGAGTCCAAGGCCAGCCTTGGCTACATGAAGAATTCAAGGCCATCCTGGGTACATGACACACTGTCTCAAAACAAAACCAAAACCAAAAACGTTTCAAAATAGCTACCACTGGTAAATATCCTGAGGCAGTCAAATGCAACCTTAAAATACTTTTGTTCTGTCTGTGTCTTTCATACCAATAATAACTCTTCACATGTCACAAAACAGTATCAAGAAAAAATACTAATAAAACATATATCTTTTCAATTCTATCTCCCTTGAGAAAAACTAGCACTGGTTAACAATTTTGTATCTTCTCATTAAAAAAATCTACTCCCCTTATGCATATATTATTTATATGATTTATGATGACAGCATTGTTTATTTTATTAAATAATGGTCAAACTAAATATATAATGATACAATTTTATTTTCTCTGGTGACATATTATGGGAATATGACCTATATCAACCAATAACAGTAGATAAAATTCTCCTTATTTATAGATTATTGGTCCATACTATATGAAAATAATCTAATCATTTTCTTGTTTATGTGTACCTTGATTAATTCCAGTTTTTAAAATATTTCTAAAATATTCTTGTGCTAAGTCTGCTGATTTATGTATCCTTGCATGCTGGATTCAATTTCTAAGGACTAGATTCCTAGACATGGGTCAAGCTGCCAAAGCTTTGGCACAGCGAACTTCAGTTCATGCCATTCATTCTCAAATGCTTAATCGTTTGTTAAAATATAGCAATCAACAGTCCCATTTCATACCAGCACCTAACTCAGGACTGATGAATATGCAGGAATGGTCTTTCTTTCAGGGGTGTTTGGTGAGCTGGATCTTCATGGACTTCCACGTTCCATATATAAAACTAAGCTGGCAGAAACAGCAGAGGCAGGCTCCAAGGTCTTGTCACTGATGGTTGCTGTGGATTGGCAGGTAGAAAGCTAGTTACGTGTTATGAAATGAAAATACCGTTCAGTCCATGTAAAAAGATCTCTTCTCTGTTTCCTTGAGCATTTGTTTCCTCATGTCATTAACTATATGTGGAATGTATATTTTACAGTCAGCTTACAGGGCATGACCTGATAGCATGTAGTTAAAAACTGTGATCAAAAGTCCTTCAGCATATATAAAGAACATCATGTATATATTAGTTTTAAAAGAAAAATGTGAAAGTTCTTGGTTAGAAATATTTTTAAATTATAAATTCTTGGAAAATACAATAGAATTATTTTAAATACATTTTACTGTTAAGTTGATTACCACCTCACTTCTAATTTGTGATTTTAAAATGCTTGGAAGTTGGATTAATTGATGTTTAAATGTTTAAATTTGGAAAGAAAATAAACTTTGAAGGCCAGTGATGTTCAAGTAGTGTCTATGCTAAATATAAGAATATAGTCAGCAATATAAGCAGCAGATTCATAGTTTAGAATTACTTTTTTACATTTTATTTATTCATTTGATGCATGTGCACATGTGTCTGTGTTTGCTTGTGTGTGTGTGTGTATGTGCTATGGTTCATGGTGTTGGTGTGTGTGTGTGTGTGTTCATGTATGTGTGTGGGTGTAAGGTATGTGTCATAGTGCATGTGTGGACACCAAACTCTAAAATTCTTAATAGCAAAGAAGCATATTCATTGTTATAAATTTAGATGTGTTATATTATTTCTGATAATAAAATACCACTATTGCTAATCAGATATAAATTTACAAGTATTTAATAGTTGTTACTAAGAAATATAAAGCAATTTCTGAAACTGCTCTTGCATTTGGTCCTTAAATTTTTCTAAGGAGGGAGAAGAGATTGTAATAACTACCACAAGCTATGATTTATACCAGACAGAAGCTAGAAGGATCGTTAAAATCCTGCATGGGCACACAATTCTCATTCTCAATGATAGCCTTTCCTACACTCACCTTGGTAAGTGTCTGCTCTTTAAACAAATGGATATATAATTTAAATGTCTGGAAATGTTCACATTTTGGTATTGTGCCCTATAATTATAATTTTTGGTTAAACATCACAAATATTTGAGCAGAACATTTGGTTTTGGTATTAATTGGTATTACCTTTTATACATTAGCTCCAAACAAGTTCCTTTTACATGTATTCATTCATTCATTCATTCATTCATTCACTAATTCAGCCAATAGTCAGTGAAGACCCTACTATGTAATGTTCTATGGAATATAACCTTAGTTTCTTTTTCGTAAGTCTCCAAATAATTTTTTTTAGGACAGGATCTCCCTGTAGCCTCAACTGGCCTGGAGCTCTCTATGCAGACCAGTCCGGCCTCAGTCTCACAGAGATCTGCTTGCCTTTGCTTCCTGAGTACTAGAATTAAAAGCGTGCACCACCATGCCCTGCTTCCAAGTGATTACTAATACACTCTGGAAATTTAAACCTTTGATCCAAAAACAAGGATTGTCCTAATTTGTGTTAAGGTCATATTCTTCAACTATAATTGTGTTTTAACAAGCTGTAATGAAAGCTGTAAATGTAATTCTTAAGAGAGAAATAAATGGACATCCTCCAGTGAAAATTATTTTCACTTCCAGGATCAGAGCCTCCTCAGAACCCTTGTGTTTCCTCCTTTGATCTGCCCTTTTTCATTCAAATCTCAGAAAGTAGGAGCAGACAGGGCAGGAAAGTGAGCAAAACCCTTCAGAAGTTTGATGCTCATGAGAACTCCAGAGTCAGGCCTGGATGGGGGCTTGTGACCTGCACCCAGAAGACTCTTCAATGCATCTTTGCACATATAATGCACAGTATTATATTCATAAGGACGTTTTCATACAAATATGTTTAATCGAAGCACTTGCATCAAAAGGGTTTGTTGAAAAACCCTTTATTGTAGCTAAATTATAATTGTAAAACAGTTAGATAATTAATTATAAAGTTTGTTTGGTTTGCCATTATGGATTCTTTCATTCAAACTGTCAGTCATTTTTCTGTTTGACATATACCTGTTTGTCTTAGAGTTTTGAATAAGGTCTCTAGAAAAGGTTATGTTTTACAAGTCACTAAGATGTAAATGTGTGAACTGTGTCTGATATAGTACTGCATATTTATAAAGAATTATGATTCCTATACAATATGCCACAGGAAAAGTAGAGCAAACTCAGGTCTCTGTGCCAGAAAAGGAAAAATCCTATCTGTTCCTTGCCAGTTCTACTCAGAGCTCCTGGCAACATTTTTTTTCACATTTCAATGAATGATTAAAATGAAAGCAAGCTTTTCAGTTTGCTGTACAACGTTTTCATGTATTAATTACATGCTACACCTTCAATATTTGTTAAATAATAACTTCTTAAAATAATCTGTACCTTTTACTTTTTTATTTTCATATTTTCATTCGTGTATACAGTGTATATGTGTCCCACTAAATTTTCCCCTTCCCGCTATTTTACCTGACCTCACTCTCTCAGGGTCTCCTACTGACGCAGGTTGACAAACCAAACCAGCATAACACATTTTTATCTTGAGTTTCACATGGTTTATATGATAGGGAGGGAGCGACTTACAAAGAGACGGCGTCATTTCAGCCCTGTCCACAGTCTCCGTTGTCTTTCGACTGTGCCCGTGGGCATGCGGTCAAACCCTAGTCTGTGGATGCCCCATCTCGCTTCGACACTTGCAGGACGCCTCCACCATTCACTCCCAGCAGCTGCACACTTTCTTTTTCCTCGACACCACTAACTCTCTGCAGCTAACTCTCTGTAGCCGGCTTTGTCCCTGGCTGGCTTACACTTTTCGGAGGAATAAGTAATTTTTGGGCTACAATATGTATACATATACACACAGTATTATATTCATAAGGACATTTTCATACAAATATGTGATATACTTTGAATATATTTCCCCATACTACCTTCGCTTCCCCATTTTTTTCTAATCATAATAACTAAGTTATGGAACCAACACAGGTGTCTATCAGCAGAAGAGTGGGTAAAGATAATGTTATATGTTCAATGGATTTTTTCAGCCATAAAGAACAAAATGTAACTTTCAGGAAAATGGATGTAACTGGGGAATAGACATCTTTAGTGAATTATGTCAGTCTCAGAAAAACAAATGTTTCATAATTTTCTCATTTGTGCTACCTACATTGTATATAAATATATAAACAATATACGTATGTATGAGATGAAATAGAAGTGAAACTGTCTAGAGAAACAAAGCGGGAAGAGAGAAAAGCAATAACTCTTTAATTGTTAATCACAACCTTGGGGTCTAAAAAAGATGATATATTTTGTATGCATTTCAGTATATAAATGTTTTAATTTCAATCTATTTGTCTATGTTTAATAGTACATCTAATCAATCAATACGTTTGTGTCAACTTTGGTATATTTAAAAGTTATTTAGCTTGTGAATTATAAAGAAACTGATATACAATACAATTTCTTAGTATTGACACTGATTCAGCTATCCTGTTGCAGCTGAAAGGCACCAGATTCCTGGAACAGGTCAGAGCTATACATTAGCAGCTGATGTTGGGATACTAAGTAGGAACATCAAAATAGTTAGTGAAGATTATCCAGGTTGGTCCAAAGATTCTTTTGGTGCACGTATCCTGGTTGGCTCCTTTACTGGAAATATGATGACATTCAAAGGTTGGTATAAGTCGTTTATTTTTTTCTAAATGAAATATAACACAGTCTCTCATGCTTATAATTCTTACTTCTTCAGGGGATTACATGGAAAAAAATACAGCTTTAAGAGTGATTATGTAGTCTATATGCTACTCTCCAAGAGAATTTTTAATGTTATTCACTGCTTACTTTTTCTTCATGTTATCAAACTGGTATTATCAGACCAGTAATGACCTTCAGTGACAGCTAGGTCAGCCTCTAAACCAAACAGAAATGATTTTATAACATGTCTCTTTTTTGTTTTAAGGAAAATTTCAAACACACAAATATAGAGAAAAACAATGTAATAAATTCCAATAGCATCATCACCTTCAACTATTATCAAATTCAGCTAATCTTCTTTTATCTGTTCCTTCATACACTTTCTTCAAGCTTCTAAATTCTATTTCAGCGGGCACACACTATTCATCTAGAAATATTTCCGCATTTAATTAAAAATTTTTCTAGAAAATATCTAAATGTATCAGATCTAAAAGAGTTAATAATTTCTTTTCAAATGCTGGTTGAAAGTTATCCACTTTGTATTTTTCTCTTTTCCCCCTCTCGCTCTCCCACCACACCCTTGCCCTGTTGCTTCCAATAGTGTGGAATTTAGTGGTGGCCTCCCTGGAATTCAGCTTTCTCCTTATTTTCCTGTATTCCATGCATGCAGGCTTTAGAACCAGAGACTTGGTCAAACTCAAGCTCAATTTTCACTGATGAATATCTCACAGTTACTGGTGTGTTTGCCCACAGCAGGCATGTCTGACTGTTTTTCCTTTGAGCTGTGCAGAGCCATCAGTGATCACATCCTTGATTAATTGCATAAGTCTTCAGGGTTTAAGATGGTGGTATTTTAATTCTATCATTCCCTCCTCGTTTGTAATCTAGAGTACTTCTTCTAAGAGAAACTTCCTTAAACAGCTATTTCATGATCTTGAAGAAGAGTGCCTATAGGAAATATAGAAGAAAGCTTGATTCATCTCATGATGATTAGTTTTCAAAATATTGAGTTGATTCTACATCTTCCAAAGATGACAAAGATTTTGAGTGTGTGTGTGTGTGTGTGTGTGTGTGTGTGTGTGTACATGTTCATGTATACAGGAGCCTGTGTATATGGAGGCCAGGTTTCAAAACTGAGAGTCTTCCTCAATGGTTCTCCACCTCATTTTATGAGACAAAGTCTCTGAATTACCAGGACACAGTCACCATGCATGGCTTAATATATGGTTTTTGAGGGATGGAAATCAGGTCTTCATGCTTGTGTGCTAACAACATTACTAACTGAGCCATCTCCCAAGCCTGATGTTTTTATTTGTTTTGTTATTAGTAGCTGTGTGAATTCATGCATTTAAACTTATTTGTTATTCTCTAATCCATTGTGATTGTTCGTTGTATTGATACCCAAAATGCCCCACCGCTGATCTTAGGAACCATTGCACTTTGATGCTTAAATCCTTTACACATGAGTTAGTATTTTTAAACCTTTATTTTCTGATACAGTGACCTATTGTAAATTTTTTTCTGAAATTAAGAATCAATCATTCCTATAAGTAACCCTGGTTCTTTTTGCTAGAAGATGGTATCTGGCTCTCATAATCTGGGTACCATGAGTAGATCACCCATTCTTGGCTGGAACTCTTTCCTCGGGTACTCTCTTGTTCATGATATTGCCTGTTTCATTTTGCAACAGTGTGAATTTCCTACTGGTGATCAAAAAGTGATCCCAACAGAACTTGACCTATTGTTCATAGTCTGTCAGCTGAAGCTTGCAAGATAATGATGATGTTAATGATACAAGCTTCCAGACACTGTCCTAAGCAGGAAATAGATATTATTTCATTTAATCCTCCAAATGCTATGGCATTGTGTTATGTGACAGTATTCCTGGGGAGATGTGAACAAACATCTCCTCACCGTAGATGGGTAACTGATGAAAAACTAAAGTAAGGATAACAACAAAGTCCAATTTGATGAACCAATGAATATATTGGGGTTACTTATAGGCATATGGGTGAGGAGTTATTTACTGGAGCAGAAATAACTCAAAGACAGGTAAATTATATCCTTGCCTGAGGTATGCTTCCTCAAGGCAATATTACTCAGTGGGGGGGAATTGGTCCTTGAGACACTAAATAAATAAATAAATAAATAATAAAATAAATAATAAAATCTTATATATTGCAATAGTTTTTGATCTTCCAAAGGGTTATTGTACATTTACAGGTACATAGTTTATTGGTGTGATTAAAATGTTATAATTATGGGGAAAGGAGTCTATTAACTTAAAATAAAATAAAAAAAAGAACAATGGAAAAGGGATGAGAAATGATGGTTTTTCCAGATTAAAGCAGCAGAGAAAAAAATGAGGTTTCCATGAAAAGCTCATATAGTCCATCACAGGTTTTTAAATGTTTTTTTATTTAAGAAAGTTTTCTTTTAATCTTCCCCTCCCCTAGGAAATGCAAGAATAAGTAATGTGGAATTTTACCACAGCGGTCAAGAAGGCTTCAGGGATAGCACAGATCCCAGATACTCTGTGACCTTTCTTAACCTAGGACAGGTTTGTGCTTTAATTTTTGTATATAATCACAATAAAATACCTTTATTTTACTTTTATTTAGCTTAACAGAATGTCTGGATCTTCAGATGACCAAATTGTATTCTAATGTAATAAAACTTCCTTAGACATACTGCCCATCAACATCTTTAGAGTCACAGTAGCATTTGTTTTATTTTGTGTATTTATTTAAGGACAATAAAACCATGGAAAAACAATTGAACTGAAGGTCTGTAATAATGGCTCACACCTCCATTTTATTTTTTGATGACAAAGAGTAACTGTTCCTATAAAACAAAATGCTTACATTTCTCAAATGACAGGTAAATTTGAATATCAATGTCTCCACAAAAAAGGAAAATAATTATCTAAGAGGCTGGGGATTTATGAAAAATTGAAAGGAGCATATTTCTTAGCAGAAATAAAAATAATATTTTAGCTTTAGAGTTGAACCCTCTCAGGCCTGTGAGATGGCTCAGCAAGTAAAGGCACTTGCCACCGAGACTGACGACCTGAGTTCAATCCCCAGAACCCACATGGTGAAAGAAAGAATCAATTCCTGCAATTGGCCTCTGATCTTCACACATGTGCTATGGCAAACATAGGTGTGCACAAACATACACATACACATGCACACACACAATAAATGAACGTAAAACAGTTTTTAAAGTGGAAACCTCTGACCTGCTCATTGACTCATTCCTGAAAATCAACATTTGAATTGTGACCTTCGCCTAGAGTATAATTTTTAATTAAAACAACTCTGTTAAAATATAATGAATTATTCTGAAAAAGTTTAGCACATTAGCACATCAAAAGTGATAATAGAAATATAAATGCACAGAAAAGCCCTTGAGAATTTTTAAGACTCCATTTAAAGTAACCATATGGCTTTTACTTTATTTAATCATAAATGCAATATATGGAAATTTTTCTGGATTAAAAGACCATTGAGAAATCATCTCTTTTAAGAAAATGTGTGTGTGTGTGTGTGTGTGTGTGTGTGTGTGTGTGTGGTGTGTCTCCAAGGTTTGTTTACTGAATGTGACCTAATTGAAATTTTTTTTCTTTAAACATATGTAAATTTTATTTTAAAAATGTTGGCCCATGCCCCGTGTTTCAGAGTCAAGAACGTGGCTTGTCTTATGTTCGTGGCTGTGCTTTCCACCAGGGCTTCTCCCCAGCAATTGGTGTGTTTGGGACAGATGGCTTGGACATAGATGACAACATCATTCACTTTACAGTAGGAGAAGGTAATATGATAACATTTTGGGCCAAAGAGCACATCCTCCTGAGGCAGTCATCCTGTAAACTCTGCAGCTAGGCTACTTAGTTGATCTTTGGATGAGGATGGAAATGGCTTGCCTGTGCTGTCCAATATGATAATCAATAGGCCACATGTGGGTAATTAGGCTCTGAATCATGACTAGTGTGAATGTGGAACTAAATTTTTTTTTTTGTCTTTTTGAAGCAGGGTCTCCCTGTAGCCACAGCTGTCCTGGAACTAACTATGTAGACCAGGCTGGCCTTGAATTCACAGAGATCTGCCTGCCTCTGCCTCCCAAGTACTGGGACTACAGGTGTGCGCCACCATACCCAGCTGAATTTTTATTTTAATTGCACTTTATTTATATTGAATTTGCATCTAAATAGTCACATGTGGCTATGGGTATATTGTCAGATACAAACCATGACCATGACCTAATGTGAGTCATCTAATCACTAATCATTTAAACTATTATAATTTTATAATATTTTTAAAACTTTTTAAAAAATTATTTATTATTATTGTGTTTGTGTGTATAACATGTGGTGGGGAGAGGTCCCCATGCCGTAGTATGCATGCGGAGGTCAGAGAACAACTTTGTAGGGTCAGTTCTCTCCTTTCACCATTATATGGGTTGCAGGGATGGAACTTAGGTCACCAGGCTTCATGGCAAGCACTGTTACTCACTGAAGCCATCTCACCAGTCAAATCACTGACTTTTAAGGTAGTACTCACATGCCAATCATAAAGATTATTCACAAATAAATGTTATTTTTAATTTTAAAATGTACATCATTTGAAGTAAGGTTTTTTTATATCAATATAAAACATACTGTAAACTTATTTAATGCATATGAAAGTTATCTGTATATTTTTTAAAATCTGAGGTGAAGTTTGTGAACCAATCAATCTAACAAGTACCCAGAAGATTATAATCCAGCTAGTGCATTAAATAGGCGAAATTCATTACCAAAGAGTTCAGAGGACTCACTGAATTCTAAGTGGACCATTTCCCTTTCTGAAAGTAGATAAATAACTTCACAGAAACAATGGAAGACATTATCCATAGTCTCAATTACAAAACTAATTCTAAGTGGAGCATTTCCTGGTCTCAAACTAGAAAAATAACTTCACAGAAAAAATGAAAAATATTATCCATAGTATCAATTACAAAATTAATGTATTTTGCTTTCTTTTTAAATACAGGTATCAGGATATGGGGGAATGCCAACAGAGTGCGAGGAAATCTGGTTACACTTTCTGTTTGGCCAGGAACCTATCAGAACAGAAAAGATTTAAGTTCAACACTTTGGCATGCAGCAATTGAGGTGGGGATAACACATTCGTAGCTGTAAATATGATTTAAAAAGTGTAATTTAGAAGCATCATTTTAATAAAAGTTGTAACTCTCAGAAAATATTACTAAAAAGTATTTCTTCCTTAGGGATCAATAAGCTAACAAAATGACTTCTTCAAATGAGTAAATAATTTTTTTAATATTTTATTTATTATTTTTATTTTATGTGTATCTGTGTATCGCCTGCATGTAGGTGAGTGCACCCACATCATGCAATGCCAGTGGAGGACAGAAGAGGCTGTCAGATACCCCGGAACTGGAGATATGGACAGTTGTTAGCTGCCATGTGGGTGCTGGGATTTTAACCCGGGTCTCCTGCAAGAACAGTCAGTGTTCTTAACTGCTGAGCCATCTCTCTAGCCCCAGGAGTAAATAATTTATGTAATTATGATGAAAAGTTTTCCCACATACAGTGTCATATACTCTCAGTGCTTATATAATCATATAATAGAATAATAACCAAAGCATTTTCTTTGTTGTCATACTAGATAAACAGAGGGACAAACACAGTCCTACAAAATAACATAGTTGCTGGATTTGGAAGAGTAGGATACCGCATTGATGGTGAACCTTGCTCAAGTAAGTCTTTTAATATAAAATTACCCTAACTAGGAAGTAACTTGTCCAAATTCATTAAAAATCATTATTGTCTGTCAGATATGTGATATCTCTTCGTTTTAGACACTAAACCAAACAAGGTAGATGATTACAAAATCATTCAGTCTGAAAAAATGGATACACTTTTTGTGTGTGTGGTGCTGGGGATTGGATTCTGGGACTTATGAATATTAGGCAAGGGCTCTATCATCAAGTTATATTCATATCCACTGTCTCCACTTTTTAAGGAAACTTTTTCTTTCCAATGTCAGTATTCCAAAACACCAATAGCAACTTCAGTTCCTGTGTTGGTGGGAATTAGAACAATGAGGGCCTTGTCCCTCTACCACTTTAACAAAATCAGAACTCTAAGACATGCCTCCGGAAATATTATAGTGTTTTGCCTCTGCTTTAGTAGAACAAATGCCCAGTAATCATATATTAACACCTGCATGCATGGAAAGTTTGAAGGACATAAATAGCTGCCCTACTGCATTAGTGAAAAGCAGGAACTAAACAAATATCTACTCTTTTGGTAAGGCTGTAAAGACACAGGAAATTTTACATTGCTGGTTGCAGCACAAGATGAAATAGCCTCTATATAAAGGATCTACTAACGTCATATGTGCATTTACCTCAGAGTCTCCATTTCTAGACATGTAGTACAGCTAACAATTGCTTGTGCACATGTAAAGCTGGTTTCTAAATAAGATTGTTTATCATCAGATCATCTGTAATAGCAGATGTCTGAATGCTACCTTGTCTTCCTTAATGATTGGATTAGCAGTATAAAGCCAAATATTAGAACACTAGTCCCTTTCTAAAAGAAAGAAGAAGAAGCATGAAGAAATTTCCAGGCTATTTCTAAATGATGACTAGAGGGTGTGGGAGAGTATATACAATACTTTTTTGTGTATAATTTAGGTATGTTTTGTGGAAGGGAAGAAAATAAGAACATGTATGATACTTGTATTTACACAGGGAATCTTTGTAATAAATGTACAACGACAAAAATTCATGGAAGGCAAGTGGGAACAAGGCGAGTAGGGATTCATTATTGCATAATTTTGCAACATTTTTAATTACTTAACCATGTGAATGAATTACTACCAGATCTAAAGTTAAAATAAGAGTTGAGGAGATGGCTCAACGTCATGAAAGCTTGTGGGTCAAAGTTCAGATTCCCAGCATTCACATAAATGCCAGACAGGTGTAATGACCCACCTGGAATCACAGCACTGGGGAGATGGAAAAGGGATATCCTGGAGCAAGCTGGTTAGCTGTATTAGCTGAATCAGCAAGGCTGGACAAAATGTGAAATCCTGCCTCAACATATATGGTGGAAAACAACTGAGAAAGACACCCAATGTCAAACTCTAGCTTCTACACACATGCACACACATACCCAGGCACCCACCCACACATGCACCCATGCACATGAGAGCTTCTCATGTGCATACCCAAACACACACACACACACACACACACACACACAGAGTGAGAGAGAGAGAGAGAGATAAAGAAACACATACACACATCACATACAGACACACCCAAAGAAAATAAATTATGAGGTTTATGTTTTAAACCTTGAGAAACTGAAAAGACATTAAATGGGTCTTTCCTTGAACATTTTGTTTTGTTTAGAGTTTTTTAAATTTCACTGTAGCATTATTTATAATGGTTTAAAAAGAAAATTACAATAAAATACAGGTTTTTGATAGTTAGTATTCTAGTTAGGCATTTTAAAGATAATTTAAATCAATAATTTCCTGCCAATTCAAAGCTATCTGATTCAAACCAATTTTATACTTGTGGGAAATATATTCTGAAGGACTAAAGGAATTTTATCGATAGATTTAATTCATTTATTGATATATGGTCTTATTAAATATTTCAGCCCTCAACAACTTAAAGTAGCTTTTCCTTGACACAAAAAAATTGAAATCTGCAATTTTTCGTAAACCTTAAAGTTGTTCTTATGACTTTTTAAAAAATCATAGTATGATCCTTGAATATAAATATTTATTAACAGGTAATATGTTACATAAATATATTTGCACTGATTGTTGATATTACTAAATAATTGAGAATGTTTATAATAAGATTTTGTATTTATAGCAGTTGAAATATGAAACATCAGAGAGGAAAGGGGACTTAAATTCCTGAAATGGTTGCCAATTTATCCAGTCAGCCCATCCTAGAGAAGGGCTGGAGTACAGGGAAGGGGATGGTAGCCTATGCTGGAGTCAAAGGAGGGACTGTGTCTATCCAGAGGCTTCAGGAATAGGCACAGAGAATATCATCATCTTCTTTTCAAAGAATAAAGTCAAACCCAGAAAGACCACAAATAAAAATATAAAACTCAAAGGATTAGCAAGAAGGAAAAGTCCATGGAAGCTCAGAGGAACCAGGTACCTAGAGACCTGAGCAAGACAGCATGTCTTAAGTGCAATTTAGGAGGGGTGCTGCCCTTTGCAGGTAATTTTTCCAGTGTCTTTGTGGTTATTGAGGTTATTGATCTGATTTAGACCTAAATAACAATTTATTAAAATTTACTCGAATCATGCTGTATATTAATAATGAGTACAATTTCTATTTATACAGGGTTTTTGTAACTTACCTTATTTGCTCTATTTCACTTCATTTTGAGACAATCCTGAATTAGAGATTAACATATTTTAGGTACAGGGAAACTAAGGGTCTAAGAGATTAAACAATTTTCCCAAGATACGCACAAGAATCCAAAATGCATTTAAGGAACACTGAATGGTGATGAATGAGCCAGACAAGGCATCTCCTCTCATGAGGCTAACATTCTAGTAGGCGAGAAGAAGGAATTACTCATAAATAATGAAATATCAAGTGGGAAAAGCTTAACTGCAATGGAAAGTGATCAAAGCATCAGTTTGAGTTGGATACTCAGCAAAACCTTTTAAGGAAGTGTCTCTGGAAAATGATGTTACTAGAAAAAGCCAGTAACAAATAGATGAGACAAGGAAAGAATTTTATATGTTTGTGGTATTGTAGTTTAAACTTGTTTGAACTTGTTCCAACCTAACCTTCATGCTATTTCAAATAAAAATCCACATTTCATTTAAACAGATACAGTAATTAGTGGTGTCAATAGTACAAGTGAGTATACACAGGCCTTTAATCCCAGCACTGGGGAGGCAGAGACAAGTGGATCTCTGTGAGATCGAGGCCAGCCTGGTCTACATAGTAAGTTCCAAGTCACCTGGGGTTGTGGGGAGACCCTGTCTAAAAACAAAATGAAACAAAAAACCAAAAGCAAGTGATTATATAATTTTCTGAATAATAAGACAAATTACTAAGTAGAATAAACCACAATGACAGATCCATAAACAGATGGATATTTAATCAACAGTGATTATTAAAACAGAACATTCCTTACAGTGTTAAGTCTCTGGTTCTATATTTTCTTCCAAGGTCAGTCTAATCCCATGGAAAACTGGTTTGATAATGAAGCCCACGGGGGTTTATATGGCATCTACATGAACCAGGATGGCCTTCCTGGATGCTCTCTTATACAGGGATTTATCATTTGGACATGCTGGGATTATGGAATTTATTTTCAGGTAAATAAATGTGATTGAAATGATGATAGTTCATGTTCTCTTGTGATTGTTCTTAGCACCATATAACCTACACTTGTATTACAGACCTCAGAGAGTGTGCACATCTATAATGTGACCCTGGTGAATAATGGAATGGGCATTTTTTCAATGGTCTACATGCCAGCTGCTGTGTCTCACAAAATTTCCAGTAAAACAGTACAGATTAAGGTAAGAAATTAATAAAGAAAAAGAGCAACTCTGAGAAAAGAAAAATTATTAAAGGACTAGTAAGAATAATCTAGTCCCTTCTTTCTGACTGTTCCTCACCTTTGGAGTCATGCCTAGCCTCTCTCTCCTCCCCTCCTCCTTCTGCTCCCACCTCTTATCACCTCTGATCTTGTAAGGCTTCACTGCATTTTCGCCCCTTCTAAGGAAAGTTTTCTTAAAACAGCAGAAATGGTGATAACACTCCCTCCATTTGTAATTCCTGCTGTTTCTTGAAATGTCCATATTTTTAATCTTAGAAACAGAACATTTCATTTAGCACAGTTATTTGCATGTCAGCCCTTTCCATTTTCACTGAATTTCACTCCAGTTTAGGACAATGGTCATATCGCGATCTTTATTTAATGAATAATCCACATCTGAAATTTTTAGCTTGTATTTTATTATAATTTAGTATTATTATCATGTTTTCTTTAGAAAAAGCTATTTACACTATTTTGTTTGACTACTTTTCAACAGAACTCATTAATTGTTGGAAGTAGCCCTGAATTTAACTGTTCTGATGTTCTAACTAATGATGATCCTGATGTTGAACTTACTGCTGCACATCGAAGTTCTAGGCCTCCATCAGGTAAAAATTTGGAATTTTAATTTTTTTATGTAAATGCATATACAATTTCTGTTAACTTTTTTTTCTTTTTCCAAAAAAGGTGGGAGAAGTGGGATTTGTTGGCCAACCTTTGCTTCAGCTCATAACATGGCACCTCGGAAGCCCCATGCAGGAATCATGAGTTATAATGCTATTAGTGGCCTTTTGAATGTCTCAGGCAAGTTCAAACAGAGTCTTTCACAAATCTACTCAATTTCTATGGCATTATGTAAAGCACTAAATCACCTGATAATGGTTCAGCAAAAATGTATTTAAGTGTATCTCAATAGCAATCTGTTTAATATGATTTAATATGACAATAAAAGAAATCAAACATCAAGGTCTATTTCAGGAAAGATTCACTGACAAATTATTGATACACAGACACACACACAGACACACACACACACTTCTTGTGAATGTATATGGTGAACACACTTGATTTTGTGGGCACCGGTAAAGGCACATGGGAAGGTCAGAACAGCATATTGGGTACCTTCATGAACTAAGTGTGTCGTAATTAGACCTTTTGCTTTCCCACCGAATCTCTAATGAAAACTTGCTAGAGCTGAGATCTCAGACCTTTCTTAGATTGTAAAATTCTGCTAAACATGTGATCCTGAGCTTTCTTTTGAATTTGTCAGTGATTTTTACAATTTTAATTTTCTTTCTTCGAAGCAGTATAGTAGTCTACAACAGGCATCCGTGTGGAGATATTTAACTCTGTAACTACAGGTTATACAGCTGCCAAAGTTACTGTATAATCCAGAGCATAGACTTGTACTCTGTACTCTTCCTCAGCTTGCTGTGATCATTCTAGGGATAATTAGTACTTCAACAAGTTATCTGAATTCATTGTCTTACCACAGTATATCTCAGGACCACTTTCTGTAGCAGCTGTTTAGGTCAGGTTCCTTAGAAGTAGAACTAGATGTGGAATTCTTATGCAAGTGATTTGTTGAAAGTATACTTTCAGTACAAAGGAATTAGGACAGGACAGAGAAAGGATCTAGGCAAACATGTGGGCTCAAGTGGAGTACAACTTTTAGCTGATACTTTAGAGAGCTGATGAGACTAAATTTCACTCCATATTTTTCCTAAGGGCTTTTCACATCTCTATATGGTCTGTCATAGCTGTCCCTATATCAGTGAGGATGAAGAATGCCTAATTTCTAGGGCCAAGAAAAATTATTCAGAGATGATGCATCTAGTAATTAATGGTTTGCAGTCAACACTTACAGGAAAAGCTGAAGATTGAACTCACTGACCCAATGCAGACCCAGGCAAAATAAAAGCAGCAATCTACCACTGCATCTTATTTATATGTTATTATTAATTCATGGAATTGCTTAGGTCAAAATGTAGTTTAAAAATATAGAAAAAATCTTATTTCAGAATTTTGGAGATAGCCTTTTGCCTTTCTGGATTTTTAAGTTACTGGACTTTAAGTAGGACGAAAGTGAAATTTTGGGAACCAATAAATGACAGTTTAGTCACATAATATATACAATGATGCCAAAGGAAAATAATATATCAGTCAATTCTTGCTGCTTACAAAACCACCCCGAGATTTTTAAACGATTTCTTAGTTTATAATCAGTGGACTGGCAATTTGGACTTGACCGATCCAAATGGTTCTTCACCTGGGCTTTTGCACTACATGTCCATCAGTCTACGGGATGGGTATAAGCTGGTTACTTAGAGATAGCCTCAGTTTCATGTGTAAAGTTGGTGCCTACTGACGATTGGTGCTGGCTACTGGCTAGGGTGATGGAAGTGATTGAGCCACATGTATCCTAGGCTTACTTACATGTTTTAGTCATGGAATTCCAAGAAGCTCTGAAAGTGCTAGACCTAACATGCAAGCACTCTTCAGATTTCTTCATATGTCACAATTAGTAATTTTCCATCAGCTAAACAAAGTGGCATGGCCAAATTGAGAGAAAATTTCTGAAAGAATTGCCCAGTAGTATATACATAGGATAGAAGCAGTCTACTATAAATGCTGGGAGACTCTTCTTGACGTATCAGCCCAGGGCTCCATGTTCAAGGCAGTGGGAAAGAATGTGTTGAGTGAAATGTGCATGAAATAATTTGATTTTAAATCTTTCTCCAGAGGGGAACAATAACTTTTCTATTTTGTTTTAGGTTCAACATTTGCTGGATTTAAGAATGTTTGTTCGGGGGAAACTAATGTGATATTTATTACTAATCCTTTAAACGAGGACTTACAGCATCCAATCCATGTGAAGAATGTACAACTGGTTGATACTACTGAACAATCCAAAATATTTATACACAGGCCTGATGTAAGGTACAATATATGAAAACATATTCTTTCTTAAGTTTCTGTTCTCTGTACCCTGTTAAAGGTCTGAAAAAGTTGCTATATTAAAATAACTGCTACTATCTATATACCTGTAGTTTTATCATTCCAAGAATTCAGATTTTAATAATACTGTTCTCAGTTGTTTTAAAAACTGAACTTTAACACTGGGTGTGGTGGCGTGAGCCTTTAGTCCCAGCCTTGGAAGGCAGAGGCAGGTGGATTTCTATGAGATCTAGGCCAGCCTGGTCCAAATTGTGACTTTGTGAGACTTTGTGGGACTAGTGAGACCATGTCAAAAAAAAAAAAAAAACCCTGAACTTTAAGCCATGTATGGTGCTACACACATTTAATCCTAGCAGAGGCAGATAGATCTGTGAGATCAAGGCCAGCCTCGTCTACATGGTGAGTTCCAGGACAGCTAGGGTTATAGGGAGATCCTGTCTCAATAAATAACACCCTGAGCTTTAATGTATATATTTTTCACATTATTTTCCATGCATCATCAGTAATATCATCATTAAGTAGAGATACAGACTTGAATTTCCTTCCACATTAATGTTTCCTCCACCAATAGTCATTAAGGGATAAGAGATAAGTGATATTTCTGCAACTGTTTTTTCTTGTTTTTTGTTACTGTTGCTTTCCAAATATCCTATCACAAAATGTGCTTGGAAGCTAAGCATTGGCTATTCTAATCATTGTTGATTATACAATGATTCTTGTCTCTTGATGTCAGAGTATTTCTAAAAGCTGATCTCTTACATTCCAGATCATAGAAGAATGTAGACAATGCCTGCATTTTTTTAACTTTAAAAAAATTTATTGATAATTTCATACATGGGTATAAGGTGTTTTGATCAAATCCACGCCCACTCCTTCCCCTCCAACTCCTCCCATATCTCCCCAGGACTTTTTTTCTGGCAACTTCTTGTACTCTTTCTTTCCTTTTTTTTATGGGGCTTTTTGCTACTCTAACATCCCCACCTCCAGAAGAGGTAACCCTAAAATATTATAGGGATTAGATAAGAGCTCCCAAATACTTTTGACATTTTTGGCCTTTGGAACAGAGTATGTTGCTAAGAGGCCCAAGGACATTTTGACTTTTAGCCAAGAAACTGGCTGCTTTTCTTTGGGGTCTTTTTACTGTCTAGCCAATTCCTACCTCCTATTCTTATCACACCATCCTCCAAAGAAGTGACCCAAATTGCTGATAGGGAATCGGAATGCAGACCGCTCTGGCTTCTTCCATTCTGAACAAGGACAAAATCTTTTTATAGAATTTACAAATCAGGAATTTAGATATAAGACAATATTGGATGGAGTTAGAAATTTTTCATTGGCGATCCTTGACCAGATTTTTAGAGAACAGAAAGATCAATGCTCTATAACTGAATAGGTATGTCCCCAAAGAAACAGCATTCCATAAATACTTTGACTTCATATGACTTCACAGTATTTCTCAGTACACAATATATCATTTGAATATATTGCACATTGCATGTTCATCAGCTTTTTGTTATTATATCTAGGGAAAATCAATAGCACTACAAGTAATTGAAGATGAAGGAAATATATGATTTTAGGTTGAACTGTGTGGGAAATTTATAATGCTTACTTATAAGTTACCTAAAGAATGCCTTTGAATGTGTGGCATATGCCTTTAATCCCAGCACTCAGGAGACAGAGGCAGGCAGAACTCTGTGAGAAAAAGGCCAATCTGGTCTCTATGATGAGTTCCAGGACAGCTGGGACTACAGGGAGACTCTGTCTCAAGAGACAAAAAAAAAAGAATCACAATCCAAGTATATCTGCTTACATGTAGACAAAGGTCTGATAGAACATATATGCTGTCTTCATTTAGCAAAGGCCTAAGACCATGGATAAGAAAGTGAAAAGGATAATTTTTAGTAAACATTTATATTACTTTATAATAAGCAATATTTTATAAAGACAGAAAAGAAAAAAAAATAATTAAAGACTTCCTGACCAACATAGAGATTTTAGGACATTGTTAGTATATTGGGAGCAATACACAAAAATGAAATGTATAATGAAACCATGGAATAGCAGCATGGAATTCTAATTTTATAGCCCATGTGTATAACTTGTCATTTTTAAATGTTAATCAATTCATTATAATGGACCAAATAAACACCATGGAACACACACTTCATTACCATACTAATTGCATATGCCATTTTGTTCCATTTTGAAATTTTTTTCTGAAATAAGATTCATTCAGTGAGTTCAGTCATTCATTTGTCTTTTCTCCCCAGTAAAGTGAACCCATCTGACTGTGTGGACATGGTTTGTGATGCCAAAAGGAAATCTTTCCTTAGAGACATGGACGGTTCCTTTCTGGGCAATTCTGGTTCTGTGATTCCTCAAGCAGAGTATGAATGGGATGGAAACAGCCAACTAGGAATTGGAGACTACAGAATTCCTAAGGTGATGCTCACATTCTTGAATGGAAGTAGAATTCCTGTCACTGAGAAAGCGCCTTATAAAGGTTCGTTGGGTCTTCCTCTACTACTAAATCTCAAGCTTATGAAACAAAATTCATATTTTTTCTGCAATTTAATACTGAACCAATAACTTATATGTTCTATTTATTGAGAAAGATAGCAGGTAGAAATTTTATAGAGATTACTTATCATTTAAAAAATATTTATATGTATTTTTTTAGGAATTATTAGAGATTCAACCTGTAAATACATTCCAGAGTGGCAAAGCTATCAGTGCTCTGGGATGGAATATGCAATGATGGTTATTGAAAGCCTGGACTCAGACTCAGAGACACGAAGACTCTCACCAGTGGCTATTATGAGCAATGGTTATGTTGATCTCATTAATGGTAGGTGTTCTGTTTGACATAAGTGAACCAGAGTTAGTCAAAGCATTTCTTAAATGCATAGCACTATTTGAAGAAGTAGTTCCCATATAAAACTGGCAAATATCAAGAAATATCAAGACTTCTTTGCCTTCCAATTTTAAGAAAAATCTACGTCAAAGGTATGTCAAAGAGTGTGAGACTTGACTCTCACAGTTCCCCGACCAGGAAACCCAAGACATTTATTTGAATTGATTGCTTGAAGGAGGAAGATGAAGGAGAGATGAAGAGGGGGAGGGGTCAAAAAGAAGGAGCAGGAAGAGGGGAAGTTATTTCTGTAATGATTTCACACCTTTATTTGTATAGTTGTATAAATACAATTAACCTTATATAAAATAAAAGAAAACTAGGGCTGGAGAGATGGCTCAGTGGTTAAGAGCACTGGCTGTTCTTGTAGAGGACCTGGGTTCAATTCCCAGAAGCTACATGGTGGTTAACAACCATCTGTAGCTCCAGTTCCAGAGGATCTGACATCTTCTTCTGACCTCCATGGGCATTGCACAGCATGGGTGCACTTACACACATACAGGCAATACACTCATACACATAAACTAAAAATGATAAATAAATAAATAAATAAATAAATAAATAAATAAGAAAGAAAGAAATAAAGAAAGAAAGAAAGAAAGGAAGGAAGAAAGAAATGAAAACTGATAATGTGTTATTTGCAACACTTAAGAAGGGTATTTTGTCCTACCGGTTTACATTCTCAAGAATCTTTGGATTTATGTTGAAACCAATGTAGGCTTATTTTTCATATGAATATATAGCTTATTCCTTTGACTTTTAAAAGAGTTTAGGCTTCTTCCATTTTGGTTCTAGATGACTGGACTACAAAGGGGAGATAATGGGCTCAATAGAGATTCTGACAAACTTTAGAGACCAAGACTTTTTGAATGAGTAAGATGAACTTCTAAAAGGTGCTGAAAATGCAGGAGAGGGATTTATTGCATATTCCTGGAACAGCCCTGGGGCCCAAATGTTAGTCTTTCAGCAAGCTTAGCATTGAAGAGGCACAAAATTTGTACTTCACAGATTTCTGTGCCCTAGCAGTGCGGTAACATGTATCAAAATAATCAAGGATTTAAAAAAGTAGCTACTACCTCACAAAATCTGCATTGAAAATGTGGATAACTGAAGGTGCTAAACTAAAGATATCTGAAAGGTGTAGAAAGTTAAGGCTCTCCTCACATCTCTCATCTGGATATGCAGTCCCCTTGAATTCTTTGGCCAGCAGAATGTCAAATATCAGTGTCAAATGCTGCCTTTCTGGTGTTGCAAAGCAGAGGTTGTGGGGAAATTTTAGAGAATTCAGGGAATAATGAAGGAATAGAAGTTTTCAACTTGATCCATTTTATATGAGAGATTCCATTGTATTTACTTTTACGTTTCCCTTTTCTCAAAGGCCGCATAAGTTTTCTACTTACCATAGTGACATGCCCCTTCTCTTTCAAATCTATTTAAACTTAACGTCAGTCAATTTAAAGAAGTCTTATTGGGGCTGGAGAGATGGCTCAGTGGTTAAGAGCACTGCCTGCTCTTGTAGAAGACCGAGGTTCACTTCTCAGCACACACGTGGTGACTAACAACCATCTACAATTCCAATTCCAGAGGATCCAATGCCCTCTTCTGACCTCTGCCAGCTTTGCACAACATGAGTGCACTTACATACATGTAGACTAAACACTCATACACATTATAAATAAATAAATAATAAATAAAAGTCTTAAGTAAATGGTACTAACATGGAAAAATCATAAAAGTGTTATGAAAATCACAGAAACCTGGGAAAGAATTACCCAAGATAAATATTACTGAATATTTATTACAAATATTTAATAAATATTCCTTTCAATTTCCATGTTTCCTTTCGAATCAATGTTAAATTTTATTTTTTTTAATTTAACTTAATTTTTTGGTTTATTTTATGTGTATGAATGTTTTGCCTTCATGTATGTATGCAAAGCCAGAAGAGGGCATCAGATCTCCTAATATTGAAGTTACAGATGGCTATTAGCTGCCAGTTGGGTGCTAGGAACTGAATCTGAGTCCTTTGCAAGAATGGCCAGTGCTCTTAACTTCTGATCTATCTCTCTGGCCTCCAATTTTATTTCTTTTTAATATAAGTGTATTTTTACTTTAAAATTTTCATTTCATATGGACATTTCTGTATATTTGCTTAACACAAAGAAAGTTATAGTTAAAGTAGAATTTTGTATCCTAAGGGAAAGGTTATATTATACATAAGCTTTAGAAGTTGATATTGATTTAAAGTTTGATTAAAATTCAGTTATAAATACTAAAGCTTCCAACTGAGCCAGAAAATTCAGAAAACCTAATGAATAAATGCATTAAGAATATTTGTCAGCCTATATTTCACGCTGTTTTCATTGAAGTAAAAAAAAGAGATGATTGCTGTGAAAATCACATAGCTGTTCTGAAAATTCCTAGACCGAGGTAGAAAGTTATCTGCCGTCCCATCGCTTTTTAGAGTATCTTCTTTATACAGTTCTACTTCTCAGATGGTTTTAATTCATTTCTCACACTAATTCTCCAATAGTACCTATGGCCACAGAAATTTGCTAAGTTAAAATATAATATGGAGAAAGAATAAAGACTTGATTGAAACAAACCCGTTAACTAAACTTGAAGGTGCAACCCTGTGATCCCAGCTACCGAGGAGACTGAGGCAGGAATACCACAAGTTTAAGGCCCATCTGGGTTATGGAGTAGAGTCAATTCTTGGTCAACCTAGATAACGTAGTGAAATTATGTCTCAAAATGAAAAAAAAATAAAAGAATTGGGGATATAGGTCAGTAATAAGATATTTGCCTAGCATGCATGTGGCCATTTTCAACCCTCACGACTCCCCCAAGTCAAAGGTATTTGGGAAATTTACAAATGAATAAACAAATGACAGATCAAATTGATGAATCTTGCTCAGAAATACAGATGTCCTTCTTTTCAGGTTCAGGCCCTATTGTAATAAATGAACTCTGTGTATCAGCACGTTTCCTGCCATCCAGCCTGAGAAAGTTGCTGAGTCCTTAGCACGATCATTGTGTCAGTGATACACACAAACCTACTATTCCATCAGTGCCCTCTACGACAAATCATCACAAACACATTGCTGTCCTAACTGCGAGCAGTGTAAAAGCACAGCAACGGGAGCAGGTTGCCTCCTTCCTTCCATGTTTAGCCAAGGATTGGGAAATAGCTTGGATAGATGGGAAGATGGCAGTGAGTAATGGGTTTAAGTGCTGCATTTGCATTTGAACTAAACCACTGCAATTTACTTTTAATAAAATTATAATATAATTTTTATAAATATAAAAAAATTCTTCATATTTTGTACTAAAAATGCTCATAAAATAAGAACATAAACTTTAATTTTACATGAATTTAGGTCCACAGGATCATGGCTGGTGTGCTGGGTACACTTGCCAAAGAAGGCTGTCCCTGTTTCATAGCATTGTGGCTCTGAACAAACTCTATGAGGTCTACTTCACTGGTACTAGTCCTCAGAATCTTCGACTGATGTTGCTTAATGTTGACCACAATAAGGTAAGTTTAGATAGAAACAATGCCCTAACAATCATTGTAGCTATTGTCATACTACTACAGATCAGTCTCATTCCCTGTCCTCTCTAATGTTGTCATCTTTTTAAAAATATTTTTTTTCATTATTCCAAAGAGAGGCAATTTTTAACACATCTTTCCAGAAATAACATGGAGCAGATTACATAAAAATATACATACAATGAAGTTTAAGGTGGAAAAGTGGGAATATGTAATCAAAGACTAAAGCTGGACATGATGGCACACGTCCTCAATCCCAGTGAGCTCGAGGCCAGCTTGGTCCACCCAGAAAGCTCCAGGACAGCTGGGTCACAGGGAGACCCTGTCTCAAAAAGACCGAAATAAATAAATAAATAAATAAATAAAGACCAAAGGATTTGCCAACATGGGGTCAACTTTGGTGGAATAATGAAGGTTTCCATTAGTTCTGTTCTTTTTTTTCCCTTTTATAAAAAAAAATCCTAACTAGTTTATTCGGCTTGCTAACAGAGCATAGTTTGGGGGTTTATTTACAGAGGAGTGGGCATCCCCCATTTACAGCTGCACTGGAAAGTACACACTCAAATATAGATCCTGTGACTTCCCAACAGCAGCACAAGATGGTGAGAGAGGTGCCTCATGGCGTTCTCGGCTTATATAGCCTTAGCCCCTCCCCCACACTCAGTTAAGGTCAACTGATTGGGTGAGAAGGGTAACTGACATACACACCCCCCACTCCCTGATGAGCATAGGAAGAAGGTGTGACTATAGCTTGCTGGTGGAGGACACTTCCAATTAACACTCCACCCTTTCCTCTGGCTCTTATAACGTTGTCATCTTTATAGCTTGTTTTAAAAGACTTGTTAGAATACTATTAGTCTGGACTGTTCTCAGTTTGAAAGTATGCACAGGTACCAAACACCTCCTCCCAATATGTATTTGAGTCTTGTGTTCTATGTATGAGGCATGATGCTTATGATTGTGTGATCAGCAAGCAAGCCTAAACTTTTGTATTAAAATGGTTTATATTCCAAAGTTATCACCTAAAATTAAATATTTATTTTTCCTGTTCTTCCATGGTGGTACTATGCATATACATGTCAGAAATTTATCTTTGGAATTTACTTCAGAGATTGCAACATATTATTTTAAATATCTTTGATAATGTAAAATCCTTTTTATAAATGGAATTAATCTAGGAGTATTAAAGATATTCATAATGTCAGTGGGGAAAAAGTCTGCTGCTAAACAATAGTCCCATAATTCATACTTTCCTAAAAATGGGAGACTTCAATTTGCCAGAGTGTTAGGGATGTGAAAATATCTGGGCGGAAGGAACAAAAGCAGATATCCTTTCTTCTTGGGTGACAGAAAATCCATCCTTTCATTACTCAAGACAAAACCTGGGCATTATTCTTGCCCTCTCTCCTAATTCCTTACCCAATCCATATGTGAATTCTGCTGTGTCTTCAAAATATCTGGATCAGAATGCTTCTCACCAGTTCCATTGCTACTATCCAGTGAAGCCAAACAACCTTATCCTCTCCCTATATGAAAGCGGTTGCCTCCCAACTCTTCTTCCTGTGTCCACTTTTGTCCTTCTATGGTCTGCTCTCACCCCAGTAGCCTGAGAGGAAAAATCGGGACTCTCCAATAGCCAAACTCCAAATCAGGCCTGTCTTCTACCTGTAACTATTCCCAAACTTGTCTCTATGTGAATCAGAATCCTCACAATGACCTGCAAGGCCCGATGGGAATCTTCCCTTTCCTTCGATCTTTGATTTCTTTCACTCCGGCCACACTGACCTGCTTGCTGCAACCCAGTCAACCAGACAAGCCAGACAACTGCATTCCAGATGCTGCAGCTGCCTGAACATTCTAACTGGCTAAATCCCTCATGTTTTCAAATCCCATTTTCTCTGTCCACCGACCCTGATCCGCCTTCACCATTGGTTGTTTCAATTTATCATACCCAGATTTACTTTTTCTTTTCTTTTTATATTTTATTTATCTATTATTTTTATTTCATATGTTTGAGTGTATTGCCTACATGGGTGTAAGTGTACCCATGTCATGCAATGCCCACGGAGGTCAGACGAGGGCATCAGATCCCTTGGAACTGTAATTAAGGACAGTTGTTAATGGTCACATGGGTGCTGGGAATCAAACCTGAGTCCTCTGCAAGAGCAGCCAGTGCTCTTAACCACTGAGCCATCTCTCCAGCCCCTTTTTCTTTTTTCCATAGCACGTATCCTTCTTGCATGCATCAGATGTTACTCTTTAGAATATCTATTATTTATTGTGTCTCACTTCACTGTAGGGTATAAGCACAGAAAGAAATAGAAGCTACCAGCACCTACACAGCACAGGCCAAGAGAAGAATGTGACTTTTGATTTCGATTACCAAGTATTGTGATCATTATTCTAGGCCTTTGTAAACAGTATCAAAATAAGGTTCTAAAACTTACTAACTACATATTACTCAATCCCTGCCCTTGCAAAAGCAAGTCTCCTTACTTTATAGCCATGTCTGAAAGCCTGAGGTGTTGGGACTTTAAACATTAAAAATGGACAGAATCCAGCCATGCAGGACAGTTATTTTGATTGATTTTTACAATTCTTCCTACCAAGCTTTTCTAAACTGACAATTTCTCAACATTGAGGACTTAAATTTGTGTGGTTAGCATACATCACTGCTAAGCGTCTCCTATTCCCTGGCTTGTGGGTTTGAAAGTTTATTTTGTGCTTCATGGTCTTTGTAAAGAATCCTGTCCTCAATTTGGAGCTGCTCCTTAATCATTTCTTTCTTCCATTGCACTTTCTACTGAGACACATCACCCAAAGGCTAATTTTTAACATCTGCATAAACGATGAAATGCAAGCCTATTTTAAAATTTTAATTGAGTATTTCTCATAGACTCATTTACTTGGTTTTAGTATTTTATAGAACATATACACAGTTGATGCACAGATTTAAGAACTAAATTCAAAATACGCTGCTTTATTGACTTTTAGAAACACATAAATGTTTTTTAAATTTTTTTAACAGGCTGTTCTAGTAGGAATTTTTTTTGCCACACTTCAGCGTTTGGATGTCTATGTGAACAATGCACTGGTTTGTCCCAAAAATACAGCATGGAATGCCCAAAAGAAACACTGTGAACCCAACAGGCATCCATACACAGGTATTTCTTCAGGATAGTACATATGGTCTATGTACTGAGTTACTTGTAAAAATTCTTTGCAATGTTTTATTATGATTTTTTTTCTACCTTAGCCATTGCTGAATGCAGGACAAAGTACATTTTTAGCCCCACTCACCAAAAACTAAGATATGTACACTTATTCTATATGTCCTGAACACTCTTTTCTGTTGGTACTTGCAGATGAAGGTTTTTGTGATTGGGCATTGTCTTAGTTTGTTTCTCATTGCTGTGACAAAACACTCTGACCACTACCAAGTTGGGGAGGAAAGGGTTTATTTGTCTTACATCTCCCAGGTTACAGCACAGTCTGTGCAAGTTCCAATGAAGTGTAGTACAAAGCTACATGACTTATTCTACCATTATTATAAAATTCATCCTTTCCTTTAGACTTCAAATGTGTAATAGATTTATTACTTCTTAAATTTTTTTCATACTGTGTCACACATACACACACACACACACACACACACACACATGCACGCACACTTGCATGCATGCTCAAGGGGTGGGCCAAACAGCAGAGGGGCTTGAGTTCTTTGGTTAGGTGAAGAGAGTCATGTGAGTTGGGTAGAGAATTCAAGGCCTGCATTCTTCCCCAATATGTAAGAGTCTCTGGAGAGCTTGTGGGAGAAAGATTCTGCATTCTTTCTCTGAGAGCAGGGCCTGTTTGCAGAACAGGTGGTCCCAGACATGAATGTTTGCAAAGCAAGAATTGCTTTATGGTTTATGACTAATGGATGTTAAATGTTGGGTGGTTATGATAATGGAAATATATTTAATTGTGCTATTTTGGCCTTTTTCCTTCACAGGGCAATTCCTTCCTAACTTGGGTTCTGGTATCCCAGGTGAAAACTACTTTGATAGAACCTACCAGATGCTTTACCTTTTAGTTAAAGGAACCACACCTGTGGAGGTTCACACTGCCACAGTCATCTTTATTTCTTTCCAATTACCTGCTTTAACAGAAAATGACTTTTATAGCTCACACAATCTGGTTAGAAATCTTGCCTTGTTCCTAAAAATACCAAGTGACAAAATACGTGTCAGCAGAATAATGGGAGGAGAGAGTCTACGACAGAAGAGATCTACTGAACACACGACTGAATTAGAGATTGGAGATCCTCCCACTCAGCTATTAAGCAATTCCACCACAGGTATGAGAAGACTTTAGATAAATGAATGTCTTTACCAAGTCTAATGCCGTAAATAAATGGATCAGGGCCTGCCTAGCCAGGCCTCAGGAAATCCTACCAACCCTGCTTCCTAAGCCCTAAGGGCCAGCACACCCTCTTACCTTCTATACTCCTATATTACTTACTTGTTTGGAAATTATAAAGGAGCATCACCTTCTGTTTTGTTATTATGGTGATTAATGAAACAAAGGGATCTAACTTAATATTAAAGATTCAGAAAGATCTACTTAAGAAAAGGGTTCGTAGCTGAGGGATGAAAGATGAAGACAGGCTGTCGACGGAGCACTATTGCTTAGAAGAGCAGAGGAAACACAGGCTTATGTTACAGAAATTTCTTCCAGTATATAATCTGTCTAGAGTCAGAGCCGGCTTTCTTTCTCCAGCCCTGCCCTTCCTTGGACTTACATGGTCAGTGTTTTGGTCTCAATATAACTTAGCCTGTGGATTTAATCTAGGAGTTGCAGTGGGCCCATGGTACCCAGGCAGATTATTCATCCTTTTATAGCATATAAGCCTTCACATGCAGTGAGGTACAACATTTACAACACTAGCAACTAGATAGCCAAACTGTTCTTAACTTTGTCTCTGTGACCTAAATTTCCATATACAACCCCTCCTATTCAATCTCCATATAGCAGTTTTAGATTGTGAGTCATATTTACCTTTTTTTGAAGGGTCAATGTTCATTATAATTTTATTTATACTAAATCAAACAAAACAAAAACAAACACTCTCCCCAAAGCATAAATACCTACTGAGAGGATGTTATTGAGTAAATTTTTATCACACGGAAAAATTAGATGCATATAGTCATTACAAATGTCATTTATCTTGACAAATGTAAGATAAATGGCTGAGAGAATTGAGCACAGGAACTAAGGAAAGGCCCAATAATGATATGTTATCTAGACAGAGTAGGATGGAGTTTTCAACTCTCAAGAAAAGCCTTACAACTTGGTCTGGAATGAATGAATCAGAGCAAAACGTGAGGAAGTGGACAGAAAAGGGTACACATGGTCATGCAGCTCTCACATGGCACCAGGATATGCTGAGTTCCCAGGCACCCCAGAAAGGGTTTGTGTAAGTACTAAGGAGACCTCTGGGTGGGCAGAGCCCCGGGGTCAGGGAAAGAGTCCTTTATGTTGAGGTTTTCAGTATCCAGACCACAATCAGCAGAAATGGAAGCCTTGATGTGCCAGACTTTCAGAAGAGCCTGTTAATGGTACAGCTGTAGGATGGACCTGCCGCTGTGTGGAAAACCAGTGAAATACAAAGTAGCAATGGTGCTGGCCTACTTGATGCACCTGGGCACTCACTCCTCTCCCAGAGCAAACAAGCACTCATAGTTGAGAGAGCTTCTCAGGGTAGCAGACCATATGGGAAGGAGTCTGAGGAGAGGGAGTAATCTGAAAGCTGAACATGTCTCCCAGAGTCTTGAGTCATGCAAGAGAGACATTTCAAACTCGTAAAATTCCAAGCGTGTATTTCAGTGTATCATGTGAGACTCACTGGGCCAGGTTCCTGAGCACACCCTGCTTTATAGTTTAATTTTAATGAAAGAAACGCAATGATTTGAATCCTGTAGGCATGACTCGGGATATAGACGATGCAGAACCCTCCCAACAGGATTTGGTAAGGCCTGCAGTACACCAAAATATCCTGCCTAAAGTTGCTTTCTGAAAGATCACCCTGAATACAGTGCACAGGATGGAGTAAAAAGTGGCAAGTACTGGATATGAGCCATTTTAAAAGGTGATTTAGTCTCCACTAATATTAACTTGGATTTTGACAGTGTGGACAAAGAAAACTGGGAATTGGTATTTGATTAAATATGATATGGCAAAAGAGTGAAAAGAAAATTACCATGCTCTGTCAAAAGGAATACAGAGATGCTACTTCGTAAAGTAAGGAGCTGTGGGGTAGTAGATTTAAGAGGCACTCTCAGGCCTACCATTCTAGAAAGGAGAACAGAAACTATATGCAGTGTCAAAAATAACTTTCAAAATTGCAAATGTTCAAAGAAGGTAACAATTCATTAGTAATTTAATAATGTTAGCAAGTTTTGAACGGATGTACTATTAATATGATGGGTGCATCATATCCCTTCATTTCAAGATTAGCATCTGTTTTGAAAAAGTAATGTGTGCTGACAGAAATGGGTGATGATGCTTCACTTCTAACAAAGAATGAGAAGTATTAAAAAAGAAGAGACAATATTAAACAAGAGACACATTCGCCCACTATTCATTTTTCTTGTATTTATCTACCTCTATTTTTTTAAATTTTATATTAAAACACATTCTCTTATGTTTTTAATTTCCCTTGCTTTATTAATATGACCTTCACATTTTTATCAGGGACAATTTTAAAGGTTTTCCAATTCTGTAATGGAGCAATGTAAACCAACCTGAAGCCAAAATTCTCTCAGGTCTTCACAATTCTATATTGTGTAATCCAAATGTTGTAATACTGCTTCCCCACAGGTCAGATGCAGTTGTCTGAGCTCCAAGAAATTGCTGGCTCCCTTGGACAAGCTGTAATCTTAGGAAAAATCAGTAGTATCCTTGGATTTAATATTTCTTCCATGTCTATTACTAGTCCTATTCCGCAACCAACAGATTCTGGCTGGATTAAGGTAAGAACATACAACTAGGAAAAAATATACTTTATCTATTTAAAATATTGCTGCTTTTAAAAATTAACTACCTCTCTACTTCAAGGCAGAAATTTAGATAGTATGTCTTTCTAATTCACTGTTGACCAGCTTTTCATGGACTACCTAAAATGGTAATAGTATAGTTAAAAAAAATAAAAGATTGGGAGTTGGGAAATGGCTCAGTGGGTATGAATGCTTGCTGGGAAAGCACGAGGACCTGCATATGGAGTCACAGCACCCATGTATGTATGGCCAGGCATGCCTGTAATCCCAGTGCTGATGAAGGTGGGGGCACAGGAAGATCACTGAGGCTTGCTGGTAAGACTGCAAAATAGCTAGTTCCAGGTCCAGTAGGAGACAGTCTCAACTGGATAAGGTAGAGCGTTATAGAGGAAATATTACAATAATGTTAAATATATATATACTTTTTAAAATAAACCAAGCTAGTATGCTTAGCTTGGCTGAGTTTGCTGTGAAATGCAGTTTGTCCTGGAAAATCACGTCCCTGCTTCTGTCCCTGCCAGGTGACTGCCCAGCCAGTTGACAGGTCTACATTTCCTGTGGACTATGTGGCCTTAGTGTCTTCACTCTCAGTGATTGCTCAGCCAGTGGCAGGCCAGCCAGGACAGCCGTTTTCCCAGCAGCCCTCAGTAAAGGCAGTAGACTCTGAGGTAAGTTGTAACATGACATCCTCCTGAGTGAAGGGCTTTGGCTGTTGTTCTGGAAGGGGATCCCCTCTCTAGTCTTGAAATGCTGACAGCCTGAATGTATCCTATCCTCTCTACTGTTTCAAAAATGTTTCTTTTAAATGAATTTGATTTTCTGTTCAAGTTCATGATCACTTTTGTGAGCTCCTGAAGATTTTAAATTTGTAATGAGACATTAAATTTTTAAGCATTTTTTAAAGAGCATGGGATAGGAAGATTTTTTTTTTAAATATAATTCTCTACTATTCTTTTTTCTTGAGGGGAACTGTGTATCAGTTGGGATTACATCACTTACTTTGAAGGCTATCCTAAAAGACTCCAATAATAACCAAGTCGGTGGCCTTAGTGGAAACACAACAATTCCATTTACCAGCTGTTGGGCCAACTACACAGACCTTACTCCTCATAGGACAGGTGAGTGAGCCACACTACATCCGCATACATCCCCACAGTAGCCAGAAGCAGAATTTCCTCTGAATGAGCAAATACCCTATAATAAACTATAGAAATCAGAATGTGATGTTTTGCCTTCTTTCATAGTATGTTTAGTTCCCCTTATAAAATATATTTAACATACAAATAAAATAGAAATTAAAGTAGGAAATATAGCATAATTTGAGGCTATACATAAAAAGCTATATCATTATTTATATTTTATCTTTTTATCTGTTATTGATCCATATTTTCTCACTGTGTCACATTTATTGTAAGACAAATTAATATGTATATTTTTAAATTTAAGAAGCTATAGACTCTGGTTATTTTAATACTCTATGCAAGAGTTCAGAGTTATGTTAGAAAGCTGGCTTTGTCTTTCTGAAAACCAGTGTAGAAGGCACAATATGTACTTGTAATGCCTTGTGGTGCCTTGAAATCCATACATCAGTTGGTGAGGAGAATCATAATTTGTTCTAGTTGGCTTCTTGTTGTTAAACAAGTGTTTATAGTAAACACCATGACCAAAATTAGCTTAAGGAGGAGGGAAGGGTTTATTTCTGTTTACACTTACAGGTCCATCACTGAGGGAACTCATGACAGGAACTCAAACAGGAACCTGGAGCAGGAACCAGAGAGAGGACTTCGTGTTGGCTTGCTCTCTGGCTTGCCTTTTCAGCCCAGGCCCCGCTGCCCGGGAATGGTACTGCCCACAGTGGGTTGGACAGTTAGCAATTAGCAATCAAGGTGATGCCCCACAGATATGCTCACATGCCAATCTGATCTGAGAACTCCCTCAGCTGAAGTTTCTCTCTTCCAAGGAGACACTAGGTTGTGTTAAGATTACAGTAAGAATTAACTAGCACAGTAAGTCACTCTGAGAACAGAGAAAATTCCCCTATGAGCCCTCATAATATGCACCCAGCAGCCTGTACTCAGTGGTATCTTCAATGCCATTATACTAAATGGAGCCATAACTTCCACAGTGATGTCTGTATATCACTTCCATATGGGTTGATGACAACTCCTGTCATTAAAAGTCATTTTTTCACATTCAGAAGGCAGAGGAAGGTGAATATCTTTGAGTTTGAAGCCAGCCTACTCTACACAGTAGTTTCCAAGTCAGTCAGAACTACATAGTGAGACCCTATCTCAAAAAAAAAAAGTTATTCTTTCAGCATCCAAGTGATACATCAAAACCTAGATTCCTACTGGCATTATATAGTATATAGAAGAATAAAACAGGCAATCTGCTTATACATGAGACAGACCTCCATTAATCTGTCCATCCTCCCTAGGGCTCATTTAAGACTAACAGTGGCCTTAACCTCTTACAAGGTTATATACTTCTTATCATTGCTCTCGCCTGTCAAACACACACGTTTACATGCATCTGAAAATAGGAAAAAAATGTCAACAATGGTTTGATTTTTATAACATAATTAAATATCGAAAGAGAAAATAATTCCAAAGTTTTAGTTTCCTTTACTTTTTGTTTCTTCGTGCATTGATAATTTCCCATATTTACCAACCAGGTATGCTCAGCCTGCTTACTGGGTGACATTTTCTTAATGTTTGATAAGAATCAAAGGACAGTGGATAAGAATCCAACATCATGTGACTAGAGAAGTACCTAGAGTGTCCTCATGCTTACTGGCTAATGATTTAGCCAAATGATTTTAATAGTCATCCTTGATAGTGGCAGGACTGGAATACTTCTCTGGGAAATGAGTCACCTACAGGAACACTACCTGAAGACAAATTTGCTCAATTCCTTCTTCATGAAGGCAGACCCAATAGGTCAAGGCAACAGCTAGTCTGTGACCAAACTACTCCTTCCAAAAGCAATCTTTGAAAAATCAGCAGTATCACTGGAGTACTGAGGCACTAAAATAGGTATTGGCATTTTATCATCACAACAAAATAATAATAAAGTTCTTTCCTTTCATATAGTACATTTTCTTTCAGAATGCACCTCTTTACTAGGAGTGTGTCTGACCTACTGTGGATAAGAGCCTTTGATTCCCATTTTTGTTCCTCTTCCTTATCCCACACTTCCTTTCTCTTTCATTCCCTCCCATCCTCTTCTCTCTACTCTCTTCCCCTCCAAGTCTCTCTCTCATTTCTTTCATCAAGAGCAGGATTTCATCTCCTTGATTATATAATAAGGAGAGCCAGGCACAATTACATTTCTATCATTTTTAGATCATCTAGTCAGTTTGTAGATTAACCACAGTAAAAGTTATAATAACAAAAGTACATGTGAGAAAATTAACAAAAGTATTTTCTGTGACCTTTTCTATGAGCTAGCTTCAGAAACACTGCACCTCAGGAAACACCCTCTCAGATCAACCCCACCCTGACAGTTCAGCAGCAGTGCCTGGCTTCTCCATATTGCCCCATAAAGAACAAAGCAGGCCACCTGTGGAGGTTGTGGTTTCTGACACAGAAATAGGGAGAATTGTGAGAACTGGGTGAGAGGGCGGAAGGAGGAAGTAAAAGCATGAAGACCTCTCCAAGCAGGTTAGATAAAGATAGTCCTGCTGGTGGACTTTTGCCACATGCTAGTTTAGCAGCCTAGGTGAGATTTAGTATTTGTTTCACTTCCTGTTGCTGCCTGTGCTGGATAGCTTTAGTTGTCAACTTGACATGCCTGGGAAGAGGGAACCTCAATTGGGGAATTGCTTCCATTGGACTGGTCTGTGGGCATGTCTGTAGGGGGCATTTTCTTCGCTATCGAGTGATGTTGGAGGGCCCAGCCCACTGTGGGTGGTGCCACCGCTGGGCAGGTGGTCCTGTACTGTGTAAGAAAGCAGGCTGAGCATGGGCCGGGGAGCCAGCCAGTAAGCAGCATGCTCCAGGTACCTGCTCTGAGTTCCTGCCTTGGCTCCCCTTGATGATGGACTCTGCTTATAAGCCAAAAAAACCCTTTCCGCCCCAAGCTGGTCTTGGTTAGTGTTTTTATCTCAGCAATTGAAGGTAAACTAAGACTCTACCAACCTAACAATCTAGCTTAAAATCTAATTTTCTGTGTGGGTTGAGAATTCGGGCTGGAATGGCTCATCTCTGATAAAGTCTGAAGACTTCACAGAGATTTCTTGACAATAAAAATAGCTGAAGCGGCCTGCTCTACAGGCCTCATTCTGGATCCTGGCTAGATTTGGCCTTCAGAAAGCTAGTCTATGACGTGTGTTTTACTATGCTTCTCTACCTTTGGTACTTTCTCCCCACCCATGACTCCTTTCTTACTTCTTGACCTCCAACAGATATTTACTTCAACTTACAAACAGAAATCTAAAACTTCAGATCTAGTATCTGTATATGTTATTTTGCTGAATGGATGCATACTTAAATTGCCTTCTAAACACTTGTTTATTCCCATAAATGGATGCAACTCTCAGCCTTGGGCTGAAAAGCCTCTTCTGACAGGGGGCAATAGTCATATAAGAGACTAATAACTCATCACAGTGCTGAGAATACTGGACTGCCAAGCACTCAGCCCTAAATGAGATAGCTATATCACTCACTCCAAGGGCACATTGGACAAGAGGAAGAGGCCAGACTGGGATGGGGAACGGTACTATATAATGCTGTTTTCTGGATTTGATGTGGCCAGGGCAATCATGAATACACAGCAGCCATAATGATCTGTACAAGGCAGATACACATATGCACACTCTCACCCACAGGACATGAAAGTAGAAGGCAGACTAGATAAGAAGGGGACAGGAGGTAATGGCAGGGGAACCATGATGACAATACATTGAATATGATTTTTAAAAGCTATCAGAATTTTTTTAAATTAATTTTAATAAAAGAAAAGAAAAAAGTAAATAACTGGGTGACTTGCTCGCAGCGTTGCAGGAAACTCAGCAGCATCAACTGCTTCACATATCTGTGGCTAGTTGGCAGACTGAGCTGACACCCTCTCTATTCTTGTTTGTACTCAACTTATATCACTTGACTCTATTTTTTTAAAATACTTCATTAGAAATTAGAAACACAGTTTTGAAGCCAATGAATGCCAAATGGCTGTTGTTTGAAAATAAGCAGAGAGGTCAACCTCTGTGATGCTTTTTTTTTTTTTCTAGGAAAAAATTATAAAATTGAATTTCTCCTGGATAATGCCATTCAAGTAGAATCCAAAACTTTCAGCCTGTCAGTGCAGTCGGTCCCTGGTGGTGGTGGAGGTGGTACTGGTGCTGGCGGCAGCAGCAGCAGTGGCCTTAGCAAAGCATCCAGTGTGTGTTCATCTGTCCAGATACTGGCTGTAGTAACGGGCTGTCTGATAGGAAGAATGTTGCTCTTGGAAATATTCATGGCTGCAGTTTTTACTTTGAGCACACCCTAGGTAAGTACAGTTCATGTAGTACGCACTATGACTCCAAGTACGCAGGTTCCAGCAAGTGTTTCCTAAATAAAGGGCATGTGCACAGCAATTGTGTGTGATATCACCAGGGATTCAAAGAGAAAGTTCAAGCTCAATGGCAAAGACAAGACAACTCTGTGGAACGGATATTGCCATTATGCGTTGGAATATTAGAATGTGGGGAAAGACACGTGCAGATAATTTTCAAACTCTTCTTATTTCAAGGGGCAAACAGCTTGAAATTGTTTATGCAATAAGGTAATTAGGTAATTAAGAAGTCCAGAAATTGGCTGGTTTATGCCACAGATAGAGCCATTGACTGACTCGTGTGATGGCATCCATAATCCATGCCTCTCCATCTCTTAGCTATATTCTCCTCAGTGATAGCTCTACTACTTGGTCAGCTCTTCTTTCTGATCTTCACAGCAAAGGCCCCCACTGACATCTTTGTTTGCATTTTACCAGCCCAGCAGCCAAAGCAATGAACAGACCTCCTCTACAGATCCAGCAGAAATCCTATTATTGGTCTGGGTTGGGACATATGCTTATTAGAGAGCCAATAATTGTGGCCACAAGACTCTAACTGGTTTGGCCTGAGCAATGTGCAATGTGAGGTGCTGAGAATGGTGCTGGGACCAGATGTGGCAGGTGGACATAGTGAGTTTAAGGAGAGTAAGAGAGGGAGGTCTTTCTTGGCTAGAATGATTGTAGATGATGGTAAATATCATGCCATCTGCAGCAGGTGATAGTACTACTACATGGAATGTCCGCAATTTGTGGAGAGATGGAGAAGCACTCAAGAACAGGAATGCAGTAGGAGCAAAGAAAGATGTAGGAGTACAAGGGGGCATAGTTCCAACTCAATTTGTTCAACACTGGGTCCTTGTTTTCTTCTTCCAAACGCTGTTCTTTTCTTCCACCCCACCCCAGTAAATGACAGTGCCATCTTTTCTGACCCCTTTGGTTCATGCTTTGGGGGCTTCTTTTTCTTTGGGCTTTACATCCCATCAGGAGTTCTTTGCCATCTTCATCAGATCACAGTGTCTTTGTCTGGCCTTGCTTAAAGTCTCATTGCTGTGTTTGCGTGTTTAGTCCTCTCCAGCCACTGTTTTAGCTTCCTGAAACCTTTATTCATGAACTCACTCACTTTTAGTCTATCCTCCATATTGACTTAGATTTAGCTTTCTAAAGCACAGGGTCATGTAGTGATAATAGTAACCTCAAAGCCTCACTGCACATAAAATGTAAGCAACACCAAAGTTTCACAAAGCCAGGTTTGAAGACTGCCTCCCTGTTACAATTCATTCCAGAACTGGCAATATACTTAGTGGTAGTGCACTTGCCTATCACATGTGAGACCTTGGGTTCAATCCCTACCACTGCAAAATAAATAATACGTAAGTAAATTTATTCTTCCAATCTCACAAATTCCTTCTATGCAGATGATGTTGTTCTGTCAACTTGAAAAGTATACCTACTTCCCATAGCATTCTCCTGTATTTGGCACTAAAAATGTAGTTTAGTTGATTCAGCTCTTCAAATGAGAATAAGTCCTCATCTTTGACTTAGAAAGGAAATGTTAAGTAGTTTGTGTAGGCAAATTGTAAAAGGCTTTAGTTGGCAGATACTAATCAGTTTGTGATTGATTTTTAAAAGAAGAATGTTTTATTTTATACAGATTAGTTAAATTACAAGGATGGCATAAGAAGTATTGATAAGACTGGGAAGAATTTGAGATAGAATAATAATTTAGAATACTGTGTGTGTGTGTTCCAGGTAATAGAATTTAAGACTGAATTTTATACTTAAAGAAGGTCAGGATAAGAGGACCGAGCCCAGTTGGTTCTTGGAGTAAGAACAAGAGGCTTAAACCAGCAACTGGGGTTTGGAGAGAACAGAGGGAACCATTAAATGGCTTCTTTTCTACTTTCAGAGACTGATTAGAGTCCAGCTGTAAAGGGAGAGGCATGGGGTGTAGAAACCCAGTACTGTCTTCTCACAGCTGAACACATATGAGGGAGGGAGAGTTGAAGCTGAGGGACAACAGATATATCAGTAAACAACCAACACACAAGTCACACAAGTCAGCTTTATGCCTGGTCTCTTATCTCCAGAATTTTAGTAAAAATAAGACCATAGTTTTATAAATTTACAATAGCACTACAAATACTTCTTAGAAAGTCAGGTTAGCTAAATGGTGAGTACTGCCGACTGTGTTTGTACATTAAATGTTTGTACATTTTTCAATCATCACTGACATTCATTATTTATCAGTCATTCAAATAATGACATTATTTATCATCACTGACAATTCATCCTGACTGTTCCTCATAATTTTGATATTTTTCCAATTAAGAAAATGTTATTTTCAAATCATTAGTAAATCATATAGTTTCTGGGTCTTTCCAGAACTTTTTCTACATAATAAGTAGTCATTGGCCTCTTTGCTATCAAATAAACAAAGATTTGTAATTAAGATAAAGAAAAACTCCCATAATGCATTGAAATGCTGGGCTATTTTATGACTTTGCATTCTGATTTAATACTTTATTTTTAAGAGAATCATGAAGTTCCGCTAAATAAAATAGCAAAGCTTATCTACAAAAACATAAAAAAACTATATATGGAACACAACTCTGTATACATTTACACCAAAACAGAGTATTATTGATTTTAATGTAAATTTTGAAATACTTCTAGATGTTACTTTTGTCCTGTTTCCAAACCATGAAATATTTTAAAAATTAAAAATAAAAATTAAAAATGAAACACTTAAAATAAACCATATATTAATACTGCCTTTAAAATTTTTTTTTATTTTTTAGGGAACAACTAATGACCTTCTGAAAAACAGGCGAAATCAACATTATAAAAACTGCACATATCAGCTATTTTGTTGCATTACAGAAAAGAAAGCCTATAGCATTTTCAAGAAAATATACTAAAATATTTTTATAATGTTTAACATGTACTCATTTCCCTTTATCACAAAATTCAGATTTCTTCAAAATACAAATTTCTTTTGATTCCTTATATTTGTATGTTCTTATTTCCTTCCAACAAATTCCTGAAATAGCAGATTTGGAAGCAGATAAGCCACCTCCAATTGTACCATCAAATCAGAAAATCTTTTAAAGAGTTGAAGTAACCAGGCAAGGTGGCTCATGTCTGTAATCCCAGTTTTTGAAAAACAGAGACAGAAGGATAACAGTGAGTTCAAGGCCAGCCTGGGCTACATAGTGAGACTTGACACAAAAGTATGACTCTCACCTCAAAAGGGGATGTGAGACAATTTATTCTGGAGCCAAGTATGAGTGACCATGGCCTGGGGAGATAGAGTCAGGCTGCCCCAAATTCCATGTTTTAATATGTTAACAGTTTCATGAGGTTTTTATAGTAACAGAACAAAAGAAAAAGTCATAAATCAAGATGCTTTTCAAATACCTCGGTGGAAGCATTAAGTAGGTAAATAAAACAAAAGAGAAATCTCAGCTATCATCCTCAGATGCTTTCTGATGCCACTCAGCCTTTTGGTTGGTGGAAGTTGGTATTCTGCTGAGTAAATACATTCCAAAATGTTTTTATCTGTTAGTCATAAGATGTTAAATCAGAAACAAAAGAGGGCAAGGAGTGGATATTTGGGGGGGGCAAGAATGGCCCAAGATGAATGGTAATTAGGTTCTGGACCTGCAGCATTCCAAACTCTCCACTATCAGTGAGGTTCTAATCAGTTGTTCAGCCTTTGTAGAATGTTCAGTTTTGAGATGCAGTTTTTCTGGGAACTTTCATTCCCAGTCTCAAAAACAAAACAGACAAGAACCAAGCAGAAAACAAATAAAATAAATAAAGCTTGCAATGTTCTGTATTGATTCATGATGCTCTAATTTGCAACAATCTAAGTTGTTGAAATTTCTGAGGCTTTTGGAGACAAGATTGTTCTAAATTTTTATCAGACTGAATGCTTGCCTTTCTGATCTACAGGAGCTCCAGGAATCCCAGAAGGTCCTGGATTTCAGGACCTGTCTAACCTTGCCAATATCATAAAAAGAATTTTCTTCAAAAATAGGGTATTAGAACATGTCCCAATTTGTTTTCTGCTTAGTCCTACTTTGCATTCAGATCTGCCTCTACTGAATGTGATCTCCAATTCTAGGGAACAATTGACATATACAATCTTATTTTCAAAGTGATGACTTAGAGAAAGTAGAAAAGCCACAGATTAATAAAGTTAACCAAAAGTTCTCATACTACTAAAAATGTAACTTTTACTCAGAAAATTTGAAAAGGAATGATTAATCTGGCAGAATGTCCAATAAAGTCACTGTAGCCATGTTTGTGGTGGGTAAAGGTGGCATCCACAAGTTACAATAGTGCAGGAATATGCAGCATGGCTTTGTGACAGTTAACAAAATTCCACAAAGCTTATGTATATTTGTCTCCTACATACTCTCTCCTAGCATGTTTACCATGGATCACTGTTAGTCTTGTTGAGTAGAAAAGTTGTATTTACCGGGTAATAAATCCAAATAACTGACTACATTGAGCATTTCATTGAGTTGAATACCTTTTAGGATCTACTCATTTTCAGGCATTCTAGTGACTAGAAAGTCTAAGAAGAAGAAGAAGTCACTCTGACCCCCACCCAAGAGTTTCCAGGGTCAGTGGGGAAATAGGGGAGCATATCATCTTAATACAATGAAGAGAGACAGAACTGGCAGAAAGGTCATGGCACTAGAGAGGAACTTTCACTGGGGAAGAAGAATTCTGGGAGGATGGAAGGGTAGCTTCCAGAAGATGTACCTTCTGACCATGCACCCGAGGAGCTTCAGTTTGCTCTGTTAGTCACAGGGATGCAGCTTTAACCAGATATCAAAACAGAAATTTTGGCTAAGACAAAAAGATAAAGGAAGATACCAAACAAAGATTTAATATTTCAAAGTAAGTAGCCTAAAAACACGGAAGATTAAAGGAAGACTTTTCAAAAGCATTTCTTTGGACATGGCTGTGCTTGGAGACCCTTTTCAAAAGAGAAGGGTGAGGAAACCAGTTCCTAATTACAAGTCAAGGGAAAAGGACTTTTTGTTCATGGGAAGCTTAATATGTGTCCTGGAGATTCAAGGTACACAAGAGTCTGGAATCTGTGTTCTAAGAATCTGATCAAAGAGCAAGTGATTATAATGGCCTGTAGTCATCACGGGCAGGGCAGCACAAAATAACATCTTCTGTAATTAGTTTGGCAAACAGTGTATGGGGTGTGCCATGAACCTGTGGGGGGTGTTGTGTGTGTGGGGGTTGACTGTTCTAAGCTTTTGGCTGTATGCTTTTTAAAAACTTTCTAGAATTCTCATAGTGTATTCCCATAATGGATTGTGTCAGATAAATCACAATTTAATTACTATGTCTTGAATTTTGGAGCTGGAGAGATGGCTCAGAGGTTAAGAACACTGGCTGTTCTTGTAGAAGACCTGGGTTCAAATACCCATACCCACATGACAGCTAACAACTGTCTGTAACTCCAGTTCCAGGCCATCTGACAGCTTCTTCTGTCCTCTGCTGGCATTGCATGACATGGGTGCACTTATCTACTTGCAGGCAATACATGCATACACATAAAATAATAATAAAATATTTTTTTAAATCTTGAATTTTAATGAACCCATAGGCAATATGGCTTTGCATGATCTTTGTTTATATAGTAACTGCATTTTTCTTTTAAATAATTTTCTCTGACATTGTCTTAGAAATTGATATATTGATTCTTAAAATATTTTTCAATGTAAAATCAGGATATTTAGTTGCTGGAAAAAATTATTTGTTGTGTTAATGTGTGTTTGTGTGTGTGTATTATGTTTTCATCCTGGTTCATGGCTTATAACTCCCAAAGACAGGCTATAGAATACAATTTCTTTTCTCCAAGGTGGGTCACAGAAACTCTAATGTTCCCCACCTTTGGAACTATCTTGTTTGAGAGTCAAGACTCCACCCTCATGCCATCTTGAAAATAGCCCTGTCCCATAGTTGTGGGGAAATAATCTATACAGAAAGATCAAGAGTCTGTATAGATAGGCCTTGCTGGGTTTTCCCATATAGTGTGTTAATACTAGATAGATGGTAAGATTGCCATAAAATCTCAAGCAGACATAGCTCAGAAAGCTTCTGGATAGCTGAAGGTGTAGAGGTCCCTGGAGGGTGCTGTCACGGAGAGGACATGGAAGCTCTGTGTCCTTTTCCATACTCCATGCAGCTATTCATTTGTGTCCTTTACAATACCCTTTAGAATAAACTGGTATACATGGATGCATTCCCAAGTTCTGTGAGCCACTCAAGCAATAAAATCAAGCCTGGGGAGCAGGTTGTGGGGATCCTATTCATAGCTAATACAAACACAGCTAAGATGAACTGCCATTGGCAGCCAAAGAAAGGGGCAGTTTAGGACCTGAGTCTTCACCCTATGGTTCCTAATTGTCGATTTAGGTAGACAGTATTAGAGTTGAATTAAATCAGCCGACCCAGCTGGTCTCTGCTGCAAAATGATTGCCTGATCAGTGTGTGGGGAAACAAAAACTCTAAAGTGTAGGAAGTGGTCGGTGTATATAGAAGAAACTGGTCTGAGTTTGTGTCTTTCATACTAAGTACTGTTCTATAGAAGATGGGAAACATTGAGAAACAGGACATTCTCATTTTTTATTTTGGTCAATTGAGTGAACAGAGAATAGGAAGGCAGTAATTTCCTTGGGGTGCGGGGTTGAGACAGGGTCTCACTGTAACACCTGCTGGCCTCAATCTCAGAGATCTACCCATCTCTGTCTCCCAAGTGCTGGGATTAAAGGCACGTACCACTATGCCCAACTCATTCATTATCTTTTGGGTGTGGAGTACCAAACTGAGGTTGCCAAAGAGATTCTAGGGTCATCAGACCCTAAAGCATAGTTTGCTGGCATTAATTAAAAGTCATTAGTCTAGATTGTCTCCATTAGTAAAAGTCATTTCTACAATGTTGCAAGTAAAGCAGTGCAAAACTGAAACAGCTAGTCACATTGCACCCACAATCAGGAAGCAGAGAGGAACGAATGAGGGATACTGCTCTACTTGCTTTCTCCATTTCTATACTGTCAGGATCCCCTGCCTAGGATTAGCCATGTCCACAGTTAAGATGAATGTTCCAGGGCTGTTAAGATGCTTCAGTAAATAATGGCCTACATGGTGAAAGAATCAATACCTGCAAGTTGTCTTCTGACCCCCATACTTGAGATGTGCCATGTGCGTGCACACACACACTAAAAGTAAATAAATAAATATAAAAAGCAATTTTTCAATAAATTGAGTTTTCCCACACATCAGTTTCTGCATAATGACAAACCCTGTTGACATGCCAAGGTGGATGGAGAACATGTCACAGGGTCCCACCTCAAAATTAAGAGCTACAGACAATTAATGGATGCTTAGAGGGGGGATTCAGTTTTCTCCAGGGACTAGCTCCCTAAGAGGTTATTTAATACCAAGTGGGTAACTCTAGACACAAGTATATATGAGTATCACTAAATGGACTTGGTGCATCATACGTGTGTGTTTGTGTATCTATAAATGTATGTATATGTACCAATAAAGAAGAGGACAAGAAATTGAGAGGGAATAGGAGGACATGGAAAGAGCTGATTGGGGACTGGGAGGGATGTAAATAATGTAAAGACAATACTTGTGTATGAAATTCTAAAAACTAAAACAATGAATTCCTTTAGGTGTATCAGAGTCTTGTCTCCTAAGTGACTCTAGATCATAAGAAGCTGACAGTTAACACTAGCTATCACGCCTGCCTCTTCTTTTTACTATTTGTATGCTTGTTTTGAGAGAAGATCCTCAGATGCATCCCAGACTGGCCTCAAACTCAGGATCCTCATGCTCTATCTCCAGAGCATGCTGAGATTGTAGGAGTTTACCATCATGCTGAGCCTCTTCTACTCTCCAAAATGCTATC